TTCCTGCTTAGAGAGAACAAGTAATGGGCATTAAATTCTTACCAGAAGAGCCTAGGATGTTTTTCCTGTTGCCTAGTTGAGCAGTCACAGACAGTGAAGAACTGGAATTGTTTGCTTGGAGAAATGCTGGGGTTCCCATCGTCTGCCAGGGCAGAAACTTGGGTCAGAACCAATTGGTGCCAGAGCTCCCTCTGTTTGAGGACAGAGATATCAAAATATCTACTTCATGATTTCTTTATGCTTTTGTTTAGCCAATTTTTCCCTTTCCTTAACCTGTCAGGTTTTCTAAGCCAGGAAACTTGCTGTAATTTTTGTTTTTGTTACTGTATGATTTGTGCAACTTCCTGGTGCCTAACATAATAACTGCTTTGGGCATCCAACAATAATGGCATTGAAATTGCCCAGTCTTTGGGAAATGCGGATCATAATGAAATCTCTGATAGCAGATTAGATCTCAATGAAAGTGCTGGTAAAATGCATCATTTTGCTTTTGTTTTCTTTGCATAAATAATGAGTAATTGCACTATCTCCACTATTGTATTTCACATTCACAGTTGTTGCAATCTTTATGTTGTACCATTAAGGACTTGGTGCAGCCTTAAACCTTAGTCGCTGACTTTTATCTTCTGTCTGTGCATATGTACATACCTAAATAAAGTCTGTGAGGGGTAGAATTAGGTCTGTGTGGAGTATGGCAGTTGTATTCCTTCTCTGGTGGTGAGCTAATATTTCATTCATTTATGATATTGACTGTTTTGTTGAATGATTTTTTAAATTTAATGAATATAATACTGCGTAGTCTTAGGAGAATAGCAAAAGGTTTTATATTCAAGGAAACACATAACAATTGAAACAGAAAACAGTTTATTTGAAGCCCAGTGCTAGGAAATATATTTGAAATACAGGTGCTGAAGATAGAAAAAATAGCAAGGTGTTTAAAATGTAAGATTAAAAACTATGAATTTTAACAGGTGCGTGCTAGTTTAGACTTTTAAAAAGTGTAATTAAAGAGCAGTCATCTCTGTTGACTGACAATAAGCAAAGCAGTATTGGGTGTATCCCTGGCTCTGTCTAGCACTGCTTGTCCTGACTTAACACTCCCTTGTGTGCTGTTTTGTTGGCTTTTATTTTTTCTTTTCTGTGCTTTTTCTGTGAAAAATATGGACTGAGGATGTACAGTCTCCAGCTATTGAGAAGCTAGGTTTTGTAAACAGACTTCTTTCATTAATTGCTCCTGAGCTTCGTTTATGTTTTTCTAATATTTACTCATAAACCGCACTTTTCTGCATTGGCTGTAGTGGCTCTCCTGAAGACACGGTACTGTTTGTGTTGTTGGGTAGCCTCAAACTTTCTTTCATGCTGTGGCTAAAAAATTTTTGTTCTGTGTACAGAGTAAAAGGGTTTTGTATGTCTGGAAGAAATTTTCTAATGGGTTGACCATGCATATCCTGTCCCCAGCATAATAATTCATTTATTTTAGTTAGTTGTAGTGTTTTGCATGATATTGAAATCTGAGCAAAGTGTTTTGGCAAAAATGAAATTGGTTCCAGTGCCATTCTGCTGGTATTAAATGCTCAGGAAGGGTTTAAACAACAACAACAATAATAATAATAACGATGATGCACAATTTTGTGAGAGTGCTTTAAAAAAAAAAAAAAAAGCCCTATTTTTTCAGAAGACATCGGAAGTGACAAAATGCAGGAATTTGTGGGTGGTAGTTTTCGGCACTTGTTGACCTTTGGACTGTGCCAGGGCGGAGGCGCAGTCCTGCGGTGGCACGTCAGCGTTCACCGGGAGGAAGGGACCCGCTTGCGGCTGGAACTCCGCGACCAGCCCTCGCTGCCCACAGAAGACAGCACCCCATCTCCCACCCTTAAGTCACCGTCTTGATTTGTGGCAGGCAGAGGTGGACTTTTATTTCTTTTTGAACTATTAGGCATCTCTTATTTAAAACTGACTCGGACTAGGGTGCATATGGAATGATTTATTGATATAATTCTGCTAATGTAGTTATTAGAGCTGACTGGAGTTTTCTTTTGGAAACTTCTGATGGAGAGTGTGTCCCCCCCCACGAACCTTTTTGGGGAAATACCACTGTGATGAAATGTTCATAAATCAAGGATGAGGATGAAAGGAAATATCCCTCACGGGAAGGCACTCTCGTGCACTCTCGAGGGGAGAGGTTTGAGTCTCAGTTCTTCCTGATCATCTCCCATGCTAGAGCTGCTCTAATAAATAATTCAATATACTTAAGGGCAGAGAGAGCGGGGTTGATTTTTATAAAGTTGGGGTTTGATTTCCCTCCAGGAACACTCAAATTCCTGCTTTGCCTGTGTCTCTTCAGCTTTCCAAGGAGTGCCCACCTGCGTCCTTCTTTGCACTGGGGCAGTCCCCTGCTGCTGGTCTTGCAAGGGGGCTGTTCCTTAGTGAAACTGCTAGAAAGTCTTAGCTTTTGCAGTGAAATAAGGAAACAAATGCAAGAATGGTGACATTTTAAATAACAGCAAACCCCTGAAAAAGCCCCAAACTTCCAGTCTTGCAGCCAGTGCCGGTAATTATATTGCTACTGTTAGCCCAAGATGAGTTGGTGTGAAAATGTACTGTGGAGTGGCTCTGTGGGCTTGGCTTGGAGCCACTCCCACAGTGACAGAAAACTCACCCAAAGAGGCACCCGGACACACAAGGAGTGCATCCACTGTACAACTCTTGGTAGAAGCATCCCAGTAAAATTCTCTGTCTGCAAAATCCTGCCCTATATCTCCTGACCTTTCCTTTCCAGAGAAAGATACCTTGGTGCAAATGAGACTCAAGCTTTAGCACTACTCAGGTTGTGCTCGGGGGTACAGTTTTCTGTAAAGTTGCTGAAAAACTCCACGTAAAGATTGCTTATCTGAGGAAAAGGTGGGAATACAGACGATTCATGGAGTAAAATTTACAAAAACACCCAATGGCACATAGATTGCTCTCCCCGTTAAAGCCTCTCTTGTTTAGCTTTCTGCCTTTCCTAGGAAGCTGTGTGGAGACTTGCACAACAACTTAATTGAGTGTGTGATCTTGGGTGATCGTGGTGAAGCCTCAAAACACATGCTGGTTTCCAGGATAGGAGCTGCCTTGGAGCCTGCAGATAAAAAGCTTTCTTTAAGAACTGTGTATTACTCTGAATGTGTATCATCACTTGTGGTTTTATTTCTTAACATAGTTAAATAGTGCCCTACCCCAGGACCCTGACAGGTCCATTTCTTCTTCATGGTGAAACCAGAGGTAGAGTGCTCTGAAGGTGAAGGTTTCCTGGTAACTCTGCTTGGGGTTGTTCATGTTCATGGAGAACCACCACGGTACCGGATTTGCATCGCATGTTTGTCCCCGTTCACAGGAACACCAGTTCTTTTGGTGTTAAAGTGCCTTGTGAAGATCTGTGAGTTTGTAGATGAGAAAAAGGAGTAGAGGATTTTGGTTCACACATCAAGAACTCAAGATTTCCTGTTGAAATTCAGGCCAGTAATACTACTTGGTTGTTCTTTTCCACTTGTTCAATGTCTTCTACAGCCAAGTTTGCTTCTTGTTGAAACTGAGCCCACTTTTAGCCACACTTTAGTGTAATATAAATGCCAGTAAGTGCAGTTGGTTTTTGTTATGTTCTCTTTCCACTTCATTATGGATTGATCTGTTTAGTTTATGGGGACCGTAAAGCAAATATGATACTTTGATTTTATTTATGAACATGTGGGTTTGTTTTATTTATGAGCATTATGGGTAGAAGCTTCTCAGTGTTAGTACAACAGCATTCTCGAGGAGCTCTACTTGCTACAGCAGGCCAAGATTGAAGTTATTCTTGTATTCTAGTACCATAATTACATTGGAAGAGTTACTGTAGGGTATGGTCATTTTAGTTATCTCTCAGGGTTCTGTCAGCTTAAGCAGTACTGCAACAGTTGTTTTATAAACTGTCTATATGTTTTGAAGTATTTCTGATTTGTCCCATTAAAATTTGGTTGAAGACAATATGCGGCTTTGCTGGCAACTTTCAGCCTTGCTGAGATGTAGCTCTTTGTGTAATAAGCCTTATTTTAGTTCAGCTTTTAATGGAAAAAAAGGCTAGAACTGTGGAGACCTTTTCTGGTTTGATGCATCATGTGCACTGAAATACATCCTGTTCCATTACTGGGAGCAAGGGGTATGTGGGTAGGACATGTGAGTCCAACTTTGAGACAGTTTTAGCAGATGTAGTTGAAAGTGCACATATAATAGCCTTACCTAGGTGAGATACAGCATGTTTTTAATGTATGTGGAACAGAAGCAATCTTGTCAGTGTGCAAAATCTTAATTTCCTCTCCTTGAGAGCCCTGATAGTCTCATTTTGCAAAACCTGGCGATCAATCTAATGCTCTGTTCTGTTACTAAGACTTGGACTTTTTTATTTTTGCTCACAGGTCTCAACTTACTGTTAGCAATTTGAAATTATTTGCAAACACTTACAAAATAATGAAATTAGAGGTTTTCATTCTTTACATTGAGACTTTTGATATACACATTTTTATTCTTTATTTCTTTTCATGTAGACTTGTAGAGAGTCTACTGAAAGATTATTTCCCTTTTATTTAATTTTCAGATTTTCATCTCTAAAGCTCAATTTGACACTAAGTAGAACCTTATAGTAACAAGAAAACAATTTTGGTGTACCGTGCTTTTTCAAATGCATTTTAAGATATCAGCTATGAGACTCTGATAAGAGGGGGCTCAAAACTATTGCTACCTGTCTGGGTAATTTGAGGGTAAAAACATTTCTGGATAACCTTGATAAAAACTTAATATGTAACTAGCCATAAATTTATTATATGTCATTCAGAGGGCAGACGAAGTTGTAGCAGGTGAAATGATGATGCCAGGCCAGCAGAAGTTTCATTGTTAAAATATATTCGTGTAAAAAGAGAAGCTGAAAAGTCTGTATATATGTGCACGCAGTTAGTTGTTCTCGGGGAAGCGGATCATGCTCAGTAGCATGCAGTGTTGTTTCTAGGCTTTGCGGGAACAGCCAAGTGTTTGCAAGCTGCAGATAGGGCCACAGACAAGATGTGTGGGAGGTGGTTAATGTTAATCATCTAATCGATTTTTTTGTTTTGTTTTGTTTTTTCCTCCTTCCCCCCCTGTCCAGCACAGATGCTGTGCTGGAACTTAACTCATCCATTGCATCTGACAGGGGCTCGGTTAAAATTTTTGCTCCTTCTGTTAACAGTGCTGTGACCTATGCTTGATCTCTTGCCCACTTTTGCTGCATGTCTCCTGATCAAAGAGCTTGGTGTTGGGCTAGTGCCATTACGAACAGCTCAAAAGCTGGTGCTGGACCCTGTGGGGTTCTTTAACCCTGTTCAGGAATCGATCATCTTTTGAATGGTTCTGCTTCCTGATTTAGGAGCTGTCGAATGATCTAAGTTAAATTTATGTGGGGCTGAAAAATCCCTGGTCTGAACTCAGTCTAATCAGTCTAAGTCATTTTATGTGCCAAATCTGTGACCATCAATTCCTTTCTATTATCCCATTAAGCATATGGGTAGGCTGCCTGTCCTGCAAAGCATTTTGGTTGCCTTTTTTTCCCTGAGACAGCTTATCCTCTACCTTTCTTTTTCATATGGCATCATGCTTTGGTTTTAGTAAGTCTCATCAGGTTTGATTACGCATTGTTTACCTTCAGACTTGGAAAGAGTTATTTCTGGATGGCTCTTGAGATTGAAGTTGCAGGATGTGGAAGACCAAGTCCTTTTGCTTTATTAGTCATCTCAGTTGCAGCAATTTAAGTTACAATTTCAGAATTTGTGCCTGTGTATAATGGAGAATGAAGTTTATTCTTGTGCCCTATATTAGCATGTGCATTTAAAGTGGAATTGTTTGTAATTAACAAATAAGACTGAGGTGTGATCTTGATTATAGAGACCGAGTAATTTATACATAGATTTTTTTAAAAAAAAAGAACGTTAAGTCTCAGGAGTTTACTTGTTTAATTTACACAACAGGATTAGAAAAAATGACTGAGGTTTACTTAGCAAATGCGCTGTGAATGTATAGATCCCATGACAGGAGGTCTTATTATCTGTGCTTGCAAGTAGCTGATAGATAAAACACGTTCCATCTTCTTGCCTTGACAACACTGTTTTTGCCTGCCAGACTGTTCCATTCTGCACAGGAGGGGGAAATCTAATTAAAGGGAGAAAACTGAGTTTCGGAAAGAGTACGCCCGCTTGCCTTACTAAATGCAGAATTAGTCATGATTGCATGTCATGGTTATACCTTATGTAAATGAAAGAATTGCTCTTTGTTTCTCCAAGTGATCGCTTGATTTAAGAATACTCAAGTAGCGTAAGATGACCCAGGTCGTCTGCAACATAGAGTTTCAGTCAGATAGTCAAATATATGCTGATTATTTAGATGTATCTATCTTAATAAAATTGTAAGTAAAGGAGCAATGGGTTTAGCCTGTTTCTCTTTTCATTATTATTTTTATTGTTTTTCCTTTGTAGCTGTTAGAATCTGATTCTGAGAGGCATCTTGTCTCCGAATTTTTGCTGGATGAGGACTTTGGCTGTGTAGCAAGGGGGAGGGAAAGAATGGCAAATGGGAAGGCACACTCCACTTGAGTGCCAGAACTCATTGCAGGATCTGAAGGGTTTTTTTACCTTAATAACATTATTTAAAGACAGATCAGCATTATGGATTTCCATTAATAAGAGCATCACTAGAACAGAGACAGCACTGCTGCTAGGCTGTTGCAGTAGGTTGGCAGCATGATTAACTCTAAAAGGAAAAATGTAATTATTGTGGCAGCAGGGGCTGGCAGGGTGTCTCTTGGGGAAGGAGGAGCCAGGACAGAAAGCTAGTTACCAGATGGTGATTTCAGTAGGACTAGGTGAAGCAGAAACAGCTGGAAATGGGAGAAGCTGCACTTAGCAAGCAGGCTGAAGTGGTGATTTTTTTCTGATGTGAGGACAGAGCCAGGGTGGAGTGGGGAGGGCAGCAGCCCTGCTTGGGCAGGGTGGTTGGACTAGACGATCTCAAGAGGTCCTTCCCACCCTCAGCAACCTTGAGGTTTGCGTGGCATAGTCTGCAGATGGGTTTGAGAGCACACGTGCAAGCTGCTTGCAGCCCTGCTCCTTTCCTGCCCTTGTGTTCACAAAACTGCTCTGCCCACCATCAGCATTTGCTTTCCTGGCGTTGCTCAGCTTTCTCTCTCCAGCTTCCAAGCTCAGTCCAGCGGAGATGTCATTGCTGAAGGGAGCAGCAAGAAGAAAACCACTGGCTGTAGGGACATCATTGGTTGCTCTGATCTATCATAGCACTTCATTCAAGTGTTTTCCTTCCTTCTTCCTTCTGAAAGTGTTTAATGCCCCCTGGAATTTGTGTAGATGAGTAGGCAAGGAGCACGACACTAAGAAAGCTTCTAGTCTTGATTCTGATTTCAGCTACATTAATGTAAATCTAGACTTTAATAGGTTGCTTTCAGCTGACATCTGTTTAACTATTACCATTTAGCTGGTCCTAGCTGAAGAATTAATGCAGATGTGAGAAGGTAGTGTGTTAGGATACTTAATTAAGAATTAATGTTTTAACATTGGAATTCACCCTCTGAAGCAGAGGGAGTTAGCTAGTGCTGAGTTGCAATCATTGTATAATGGAGGCATTCTCTCCACCTGCTTAGGCTTTAACTAGAGCTGAAGCGTACAGGACCTGAGGCTGTAGCCCCATGGCATGAGTTTGTCATTAAACGTTTTGTACTCAACAGATATCCTTGCAGAAAGGAAATCTGCTTTATGAAAAGGTTTGTATTATTTCTTTCCTGTGTTTCCTAGATGCAATGGCAGAAATAGTTGTAAGTGCATAGAAATGCCTTGGCTCCTAGTGTATGTGTCATTCACATCCAAAACAGAGACTTTAAGGCAAAAATGGTTTACTTAGGAGAAGATGGCCAGGAAAGGGTCCTGTACAGAAGCTTGCTGCCTACCCTGCAGACTGTGCTTCTTAGTTTCATGTGCTGGATCTCATCATGCAAATTCTTATGTGAACGTGCCTTACTGCTGTGTTTATATTTACCAACGCTGCTGTAGTTTCCTGAGTAAGCTGTAGCTGGGTAATTGGGGGAAAAACCCCAGATTTTCTAATGTCAAGAAGTTTTTGCTACAGTATGTTGATTAAAACGGGAGAATATTGTTGAACTTGTGCTTCTAGTAAAGCATACATTAAGAAAAATGTCAGTTATTTTTAACTACTCATTTTCATTGCTGTAGACTAGCCTCTCCCATACTTTAATGACTGTCAGATATCATTGAAAGCTCAAAAGATCCTCGCTGTTATGTTCCAGGGTTTGTTTAGAATGCTTAACGTCTCTCAGGAGCTTCTGAAATGTGGTATTTTTATTTTGTGTTTTCCTTTGGTTTTAATTCTTAAATGATCCCTCTTTTCAGATTTCAAATTATAATCTATTTCCTGATGCATTGCTGACGCCCCGTGAGCCATGTCAGAAGTACTTCCAGGTCAGATGCCCTTTAAAAGATTCTGCTATGCAAATATGTGAAACTTACCTTCTCTTTTCTTTCTTCTTCTTCCCAGGCCCACATTTCGCTTTCATTTTGCACTTACACATGAAAAAGAGCAAGCGCTTTCTTTTCTTTTTAACAGTGCTTTTTTGAATAAACTCTCTATTCAGCTTTTAAAAAAACTATTCCTATAGACAATACAATGCAAAAAAGTCTTATTAGAGGTAAAGACAAATCGGTCATGTGCTCTTTTCCGTTTGCAGTGGCATTTTCTCTCTCCTCCTTCTAGCTCTGTAAGGTTTATGACAAGATTGAAAACATCAATAAAAGCCCTTCAAGTAATAACGTTATTTGTATTATTATGATGCTCAGAAAATTGGGACTACTTCGTGTTAAACATGTTATAGTGGTGAAAGTGTATTATTCTATACCTGTAGGTATGTTTCTGAATGTTAGAAGTATGCAGTTGAGACTGATTTGTTTTAAAAAGCAAGCTAAAATCATGAATGAATTGCTATGACAGATCTTCTACCTCCTTAAGTGCTGTCTTTAAGCACCAGCATTTTATTAATATGTTACTATTCCCAGTAATGATAACATCCTAATTATTCTTAGTTTTTCACCAGAGTGCAATATTTTGTATTATAATACCCTGTTTTTACTCGCTTATAACTTAGCACTGTTCACCTGCTTTAGCTGAGATACACGTATCAACTCGGTGATTTCTGGTCTGCTTGTCCATCTGTGTTTGCTTTTCAACAGAAGGCAGAGGAGTTGAAAAAAGGGTGCCCTGTGCCAGTAGCGTTGTCCTTGCTGGTGGCCAGACAGCGCGAGGAGCTGCCTGAGCAGAGGGGACGGGGTCTGCCTGCGGCGGGGTGCCTGGGTGCCGGACCCCTGGCACAGGGTGTTGGTTAGCTGGTAATGGGCCCAGCACCAGCGCGCGTTAGGTACCCCTGCGGTGGGGGAGGCAGGGCTGGTGGGAGAGACAAAATAAAAGATATGGGAAGTCAGTGATTGGAATTTTGGTCTTGAAGTTAAAGGCACAGGGAGAAGTTGCATTTCCTTGAAGCTTTTAATTAGAAAGTTGGGATGTGCTGCTTGTCGGAAAAGTGACGTGTTTCAAGCATGACTGTGCCCTGTATAAAGGAGGAGGGACAGGCTATCGCTCTTCTTCCTTATGCCGTTCTACTACGCAATCTAGTTTTTTTCAGTGCAGTTCAGCATTTCCTTATATGCAAATGTTTTCCAGCACTTCAGTTAGTCCTGGTCTGGTAGCAACTTGTGCCCTTGAGAAGCAAGACCTGCCCCTTCCCATCTGTATTTCTTATTCTCTTTTTGCCTCTTTTGTTGCTTCCCTTTTTCCCACCTTTATATCTGTTTCTGAGAGCGGAGGGATGCCGGCTGCGCGTATCCCAGAGCCTGGCTGGGAGTGCAGGGTGACGGCCAGCGAGCAGGCGCCTGTCCTTTGGAGAGGACAGCCCGGTCCTCTTTGTGCGTGCCTCGTGGTACTCTTTGCATGTTCACTGATTTGATCAACGGGTCATTTCAAGGGGAGTCAGGAGGGGAGGTGGCGGCTAGTGAGAGGTCCATTTTGACATTTTTTCTGCTTATGATCATACACCAACCCAATTTACGAACGTTGCTTGGGTTTCAAAGACTTCTGGAGACTTTGGCTCAGTCATTGATCAATGTGCCAGTGTTCATCATAAATCCACCAGGGAGCTTTATCAAGCAGATTAGTAAAACAGAATACATTTTATTTCAGTGTTTCTATGTGCTTATTCTTACAATGTTTTTGATAAATGAAATGCTAACAGCAGGAGACTGGCTAAAGGTAATCTGGCAGGCAGATACTTAAGCTGTATCTAGGAAGATTATTTTTGAAGAAATTTGTTCAGTGGTAAAAATAGTGGCAAACACTGCATGAAGCAGCTCACTTGTAACAAAGAACAAGAATAAATTTCAGTCTTGTTCCAGATTGTGGCAGTTGTATTTATTGATGAAAAAAATAAATGCTTGTTTTAATTTGCTGAAGCATAGAGTAAAATATAAGCTAGTGAAATCTGTAGATACTGTGCAATTCTGTAAGTTCTAAAGGTCAGGGAACGGGTCAAAATTGTCCTGCCCTATTAATTTATTTTTTATGTGACTTCCAGATTGTCAGACTTTTAACTGATTGAGAAGAAGTATAAAGAAGCCAGTCCATAAACACAGGCCATCTTGTGTTTTTTAGATTAAAACATGTGCTTTGGTAACATTATGTTGGATCAGATGTGACCTTGCTTGCATTAGACTTTGTTGTTTTTAGGCAAGATGCAGAAAGCAGCATGTATTGATTATTTAAGAAGTACGTTTACAAAGTTCCTTTAAATTATGTGATGGTTGTGTTTTAGAAGTCTTTTGTGGCTAGAGCTGAAATTGTCTATAGGATATTTGTGAACTGTTACCTAAGCTCGTAGCTTTTGCACAGTGTGTGTGGGTGATCTGTCCTCTGAAGAATTTGCAGTTGGTGTAGACTGACTGGTGCTTGAGGAAATGGCAGACATGAAAATTTGTAAAATTTAGTTTAAATTCTGTTTTGAACAAGTTTTAGAAGTTGTTTTAGGTGGGTGATTCAGGGAACAAGGAATATACTTGGTCTGCTTGATTTTTAAATGAACTGGAGTGATGGTTGGAAGTGTGCAGCTTTGACAGCACATCAAAGAGGAGGGAATGCTAGCAACTGTACGTGCATTTAGGTAACATTGTGAAGTGCTCCTTTTCCCTCTGTGTTTATGTATGTGTTCTTTTAAAACCCATATATTTAATCTCTTGTAAATCTGTACAGGAGTCAGTTCTGTCATATATCAAATATACAAGGATGCAGCACAACTCAGCTGGAATGATCTGTCATTGGCTAGCTCAATTTATAGCTTTTCATTCCTGGATAAGCCCCAGATACATTTTTATGTGCAATATAAGCAGTCGGTGATATCTGAGAATTATGAACAACAGAAAGGCTGTTTCATGCTGTGGCAGGTGGGAGTGATTTATTAATTGGCCTCTGATTTGGTTCCCAGGTGTCAAACAACAGTGACTACTACAGTATGTAAATTGAGGTGTTCGTGCAGTATTTGTGCAGATTAGTGGAAGCCATAAATAGGCAGTACAAGAACAAATTATAGTTTTTAAAAAATATACTTCTGATAATTTTTTTTATAGTCTAAAAAAAATCTGTTCCCTCAACCACCTTAATATTTTTTCAAAATGTGAGCTGTGCCCCTGGCTAGTAAAAATCAGAAACTTGTCTACAGGTAGACAAAAGAATGATTTTATTTCACTGTGGAATACGTGTACTCTGTCCTAGGATGGACGTTTTATCCTCAAGTTTGAACGTTGGGAGCTGTAGAAACAGTGAGCAATGTCTGGAGCAGCCCTTTTTTAAAGTTGATTGCATTAGACCAGGATACTTTGTCAAGGGATTCCCGCCTCCATCCCCCCCAGAAATCAAATACAGTATTGTGTAATACTCTACTTTTTGTATTCCCTGCCTTCTGATCCTCTACTTTCCCCTTAAAAAGAAAAAAACAACCCCCCCCCCCCCCCCAAAAAAAAAACAAAACACCAAACAAAAAAAACCCCACCCGACAGTCAAAGAGCAGAGAAAATGCAGGTGTTAAGAGGCAACAGCTGACTGGCCAGTCAGGCTTAAAATTAACAGTACTTGAGTTCTACCCTACATGAAAAAGGAGCAGCATCTGCCTGTGGTCAGCTTAGAAATTTTGCAAATTTTCTGTTTCCTAGTGATGAGTGCTCAAGGAGTTCTGCCCCTCCTCCTTGTCAGAGGTAGAGGTGAAGTACTAAAATGAAACGGTGGTAAGGATGACTTCTGGACTCCCAGGCATTTGCAAGGGGCACCTCTCCTGTCCCCAAGCCTGCCTGCAGCAGAATCAGGCATGAAAAAACTGCCTTAAAACTGCCTTGTGTAGGGTCAAGCTTTCTGCTTTTTCTTGGCTTCGTGGTCCTGATGACCTATCTATATTTTTCTGCCTCTGTTTTTCCTTATTTAAGAAGCTAAGCTTTTGTCTATTCTCTTACCCACTTAGGTTGTGGTAATTTTCCTACTATAAAACAATTACGTAAAGTGCCGCATCCCTTCACCAGAAGCCCTACCACAATAGTGTATATAATGAATGTGTTTCACGACTGTTTCTTTTGCTTTTCTAGTCGATTCCGGCGTGGACGCGTTGGCAGTGTTTATGGCAAGCAGCAGCACGACGGACGTTGTGAACCGCAACAACCCCGCCACCCCACCGAACACTCTTAACCTGCGCTCCTCTCATAATGAACTTCTGAATGCAGAAATTAGGCACACGGAGACCAAGAACAGCACTCCTCCGAAATGCAGGAAAAAATATGCGCTGACTAACATCCAGACGGCCATGGGTCTTTCCGATCCAGCAGCGCAGCCCCTTCTGGGGAACAGCTCTGCCAATATAAAGCTGGTGAAGAATGGAGAAAACCAGCTCAGGAAAGCCGCTGAGCAGGGACAGCAGGATCCCAACAAAAACCTCAGTACCACTGCAGGCATAAACATAACTTCTGAGAAGTCTGAAGGCAAAGAGCCGATCCCGCAGGATTCCTCTGGCTGTGAAATATTACCCTCGCAGCCCAGGAGGACCAAGAGCTTCCTGAATTACTATGCAGATCTAGAGACAACTACTCGAGAGCTAGAGCAGAGTTTTGTTGCGATGGAAGATAAATCTGCACACGGCAACAGCCAGGCTTCTACCGTTATTGTCAATGGGGAAGTCCTGCCCCGGAAACAAAACAAGCAGTCAAGCCCAGAGGATGGTCAAGTTGCCACAGTGTCATCCAGCCCTGAGACTAAGAAAGACCACCCAAAAACTGGGGCCAAAACAGATTGCGCCCTCCATAGGATTCAAAACCTGGCCCCAAGTGATGAGGACTCCAGCTGGACTACGCTGTCACAGGACAGCACTTCGCCCAGCTCGCCCGACGAAACAGGTACGCAAGTAAAGGCTGCTCACAGCCACTGTTTTAGAAATGCTTTGCTTAACTCTTACTAGCTGGCAGCTGGAAGGAGAGAGGCAATTTAGTGGTGCTTTCAGTGGGGAAGTGGATGGCATTGAAACATAAGCGCTGGGCTTGCACGCAGCTCCTTGTCCCTTTGAGAACACTTGGCAGCCTCCCGCTTGGTCCTGGTGTCTTTACTGCTGCTTTAGGAAAGGCACTGGCGAATGCTATAGACAGTGTCCTAAAAATATGCTAACTGCACCTTTTGCTAGTTTAGAAATAATTGCTCTTCACTAATCAGTGGTACGTGTTGTGAGAAGTATATGATTGTCTGGACGTGTTAAACTACTGATAGCTGCCTACACACAACAAACTTTTCTGAACAATGACTTTTAGGTTCAGCAAAAATTTTCACTTTTCTAATTCAAATCTTTTTCAGTGTCCCCACCCCCAGCCATTTGATGCTATTCTTTTCTTTTGAAAAAACAGTCCCCCCAAACCTTGAGTCGCTTAATTTCTGTTTTTTCTTTTCTTTGTGCAGCAGTTCCATACAGTAACTCAGAAGCTGAAAACATGGCATTTCATATTTTGGAAGCCTGAGCTCATTAATTATTTGAACAGTAATAATGACTTCTGCACTGGCTCTGTTGTGATTTATAACACATCTATATTGTTTTTAAAACTCCAGAGATCTCATTTACTCTAGTTAATGGACTTTGTCACTTTTTTTTGTATCCAAGCCAGTATATAAATGTACAGCTTGGTCAAGATGATCGAAGGCGATCTGATTCTCGAGGATGACCTGGGGCTAAAGAAATTTGCCATCTATTGTTTGTATTTTAAGTGATTTCATTATTACAGTGCACAGATTATATACTGTTTGGAGGCCACCATGGTCCAAATCCACAGCTGCGTTATGTCAGTCATGCATGATTATGACAATAGTGATTTTTATTTTAATGTGTAGGGTTTTTTAAAATAGCAACCAGAAATGCCCACTATGTGACATATAATGGATCTTCGGATCTTCTGATCTTCTTTTTGATATGTAACAAACCTTTGCTATTAAGAAAGAAAATTTTCATGAAGTCACATCTTCACATGCAAAATGTAAAAGTTTTCAGTTTACTGAATTTGCTGTTTGAGTTAATACTATTTCTCAGGATACTTGATATAATATGTATGACAGCACTGACAACATTTTCTGGAGAAACTATCAATAGGAGGTATTTAGATAACTTGACGCTGAGCTTGTTGGCTCCTTCTGTCTTTGTACTTGCCCCAGGTTTGGCAATGAGAAACTGTGGGTAGAAAATTTATATTCACTGAAAACTAAATTAGAGTAATTCCAAGTAGTCTAATTAAATAAGGGTGTCCTAAGATGCTAAGAGCTAGCATAAGTTTTGTTTCTTTTTAAATAATATGTTTAAAATGTTCTTCCCACATGTGTATTGCCACTGTATGGTGTATGAGCTTTCAGCATTCAGGAAGGGGGGTTTTCTAAGCTTTTTTGAGGTGTTGGCAGGTTTGCTTGCCTAAGTAACCAAGTGTTAGCTGAGCTGTGGTTTGTTTGCACTATGGAAATAAAGGGGAACTTTCCCCTGCTGAGTATGGGGGGTTTCCTCATTTAAAAAAAAAAAAAAAAAATTCAATTAATAAAGCCCTCGGAGCTCACCACTCTTCTAAAGCAGAATAAAGGGCTTTTTAAAATTCTTTGCTACCTTCACCATACTAGCAACCAATGTATTATAAACAAATAGTTACAGAAAAGCAGATGTCCAGATATCCGACTTCAGTCTTTATAAGAAAAGAGTTAAAAAATAAACAGAAAGCCCTAGAAAACCTTAAAATTGCCTTTCAAGGTCCAGGTGGTAGAAGCGTCTCTTTCTCATCCCTGTGCTTGTTGTCGGAGAGCACTGAGTAGGACATAGGACCTGTCATACTGGATTGGATCACTAGTTTTGAGATGCCTGTATATATAAGTAATCATGAACTTGAAAAACATCCAACTATTGCGACTTGCAACTTACAGACATCTGTCTTTTAGGATTATTTGCTATCTTGAATTTGCCTCCACTCTGATAAAATTGTTTCATTAAGTGTTTCCAGTTTCTTTCCAAAATGGACTATCAAATGATACAACAGAAGAGAGCAAAGAAATAAAATGTCGAGTTGCCGTGGGTGTCAGGAGGGATTTTGGATGTGATAAAACAGGCCAGTTTCTCAGGCTCCCCTGCAGCTCCTTCTGGGAGGCTGAAAAGGGGAGTGCAAAAAGCAATGCTGCTGGTGTAGAAAAAAACCCAGAAATCGCAGCTAGTGCAAAGATCTCCAGACTCACTTGTTTAGGAGCAAATTTTCTAGTTGTTCTCAGGGGCTCCAGCCTTTTAGATTTGAGTAATGTGCCATCCCTAGGCAAGTATAAAAGAAGCCCCTGGGGAGCACTAGTGACCAGAAGCACCGCAAACAGGGCGGGCACACAGCGCATGGGGCGGCAGCACGGGCGTGGCAGGAAGGGCGCTGAAGCTCGGCCAGGGAGCAATGGTATCCTCCGGCAGAAAGCCATGGCCTCTCTAAGCTCTGCAGCCACCATGACTGACACAGCTTCCCAGGCCGAGCTCCAGTGGGAACGCGGTGCCAGCCAGGCGTCAGGCTGCAGGCTGTGCCCCGCTCTTGCGCCAGGTGAGCGCACCCGTGGGAGGTGCGCCCAGGCAGAGAGGAACTCCTGCTCAGTGACAGAGCTCCGGGAGGAGGCGAGTAGGTTGAGGAGGATCAGGGAGAGCAAGAGAGAGACAGACTACTGGAATCGCACCCTACCCTCCCTGAGACAGGCCCAACAGGCAGACAGGACACGTGATACGGAGGATTCCCTATCCTCTCTCCACCTGGCTGAACATGGTGACTTAAGGGACAGGGGGCCATGGCGACACCTTCCTGCCCGGTGCAGCAGGCACGTCTCCTCCGTGACTGCCCCACCTTCCCAGGTGCCCTCGCATAATAGGTATGAGGCTCTGCAAGTGGAACCGAACAACGACAAGGACGATGGTTTATCTAGCTTGGAGGTGTCGCCAAGGTTAAGTTGGCCTACCCCCTGTGTCAAAACTGCTTCCATAAAGACAAAAAAGGCGGGTTGTTGTCATAGAAGACTCTCCTGAAGGGAACAGAAGGCCCAGTATGCAGACCAGACCCACTTCTTAGGGAAGTCTGCTGCCTCCATGGGGCCTGGGTTAAAGATATGAGGAGAATACTTCCTACGCTGGTACGGCCCTCAATTTACTATCCATTGCTGATTTTTCAGGTAGGCAGCAATGAAGTTGCAACAAGAAGTCCGAGGGCAATCAAGAGAGACTAAAGGGCCTTGGGATGACTGGTTAAGGGATCAGGAGCATAAGCAGTGTTCTTCTCTATCCTTCCAGTTGCAAGGAATGATGAGGGAAGAAACAGGAACAGCCAGCAGATGAATACCTGGCTCCGAGCCTGGTGTCACAGGCAGAATTTTGGGTTTTTTAATCATGGGTCAGTCTACATGACACCAGGCCTGCTGGCGACGGATGGGGTAAACATGTCTCAAAGGGGGAAAAGGACCTTTGCACAGGAGATAGCAGGGCTCACTGAAAGAGCTTTGAACTAGATTTGAAGGGGGAGGGGATAAAACCAGGCTCACTAGAGATAAGCCTAAGGGCAGCATGCCAATGTTTGAGGGATGGTGCCATCTCAGTGGAGGTAGGGGGTGGAGATCCATGCGGCAGCCAAGACGCAAGGGGTATTGTTGTGTTAGAAACCACGGAAGTGCCTGAGAATGGTCAGGTAGGAATTAGGGCTTCTCCCCCTAAAAAGGTGGCGGGATCAATAGCCCAACTGAAATGCATCTACACCAATGCATGCAGCATGAACAACAAACAGGAGGAGCTGGAAGCCATTGTGCAGCAGGAAAATTATGATATAGTTGCCATCATGGAAACATGGTGGGATGACTGGCACAACTGGAGTGCTGCAATGGGTGGCTATAAACTCTTCAGAAGGGATAGGCAAGGAAGGAGAGGTGGTGGGGTGGCCCTGTATGTTAGGAGTGTTTTGGTTGTCTAGAGCTTAATGATGGTGACGATAGGGTTGAGTGTTTATGGGTAAGAACCAGGGGGAAGGCCAACAAGGCAGATATCACGGTGGGAGTCTGTTACAGACCACCCAACCGGGATGAAAAGGCAGATGAAATATTCTATAAGCAGATGGGAGAAATCTTATAATCTAGATTTAGATTAGAATCTAAACTAGCTGTTGTTTTTGTGGGGGACTTCAACTTAACGGATGTCTGCTGGCAATACAGTACAGCAGAGAGGAAACAGTCCAGGAGGTTCCTGGAGTGTGTGTAAGCTAACTTCCTGACACAGGTGGTGAGTGAGCCAACTGGGGAGGGCACCCTGCTGGACCTGTTGTTTGTGAACAGAGGATTTGTGGGTGATGTGATGGTTGGAGGCCATCTTGGGCATAGCAATCATGAAATGATAGAGTTTTTGATTCTTGGAGAACTAAGGAAGGGAGTCAGCAGAACTGCTACCTTGGACTTCCTCAGGGCAGACTTTGGCCTGTTTAGGAGCCTGTTGACAGAGTCCCTTGGGAGGCAGTCCTGAAGGGCAAAGGAGTCCAGGAAGGCTGGACATTCTTCAAGAAGGAATCTTAAAGGCACAGGAGCAGGCTTTCCCCATGTGCTGAAAGACCAGCCGGCAGGGAAGATGACCAGCCTGGCTGAACAGAGAGCTTCGGCTGGAACTCAGGAAAAAATGGAGAGTGTATGACCTTTGGAAGAAGGGGCAGGCAACTCAGGAGGACTACAAGGATGTTGTGAGGCTATGCAGGGAGAAAATTAGAAGGGCCAAAGCCCAGCTAGAAGTTACTTAATCTGGCTACTGCTGTACAAAACAATTTAAAATGTTTCTATAAATATATTAGCAACAGAAGGAGGGCTAAGGAAAATCTCCATCTTTTATTGGATGTGGTGGGGGAGACATAATGTCAAAGGGTGAGGAAAAGGCCGAGGTACTTAATGCCTTCTTTGCCTCAGTCTTTAATAGTAAGGCCAGCTGTTCTCTGGGTACCCAGCCCTCTGAGCTGGAAGGCAGGGACGAGGAGCAGAATGAAGCCCCCATAATCCAAGGGGAAATGGTTAGTGTCCTGCTACACCACTTAGACACACACAAGTCTATGGGGCTGGATGGGATTCACCCAAGGGTACTGAAGGAGCTCCAGAAGTGCTCACCAAGCCCCTTTCAGTCATCTATCAGCAGTCCTGGCTACCTGGGGAGGTCCCAGTTGACTGGAGATTAGCAAATGTGACACCCATCTACAAGAAGGGGTGGAAGGAGGATGTGGGGAATGACAGGCCTGTCAGTCTGACCTTGGTGCCAGGGCAGGTTATGGAGCAGATCATCTTGAGTGCCATCATGCAGCATATTCAGGACAATCAGGCGATTGGGCCCAGTCAGCATGGGTTTATGAAAGGCAGGTCCTGCTTGACTAACCTGATCTCCTTCTATGACAAGGTGACCCACTTAGTAGATGAGGGAAAGGCTGTGGCAGTTGTCTACCTAGACTTTAGCAAAGCCTTT